CATCAGTATCTACCGCCTCCTCCATCTATTTATCAATAACACCTAATTATATTGGTTATAAATCAGACCTTAAGAACTTGATGGGGGCAGTGTTCACTGCGGTTTCACATGCCATGTAGGCTGAAACCGCACTCCACCCCCTCTGGTTTCAGCCCTTTTAACTACTACGTAAGTTCGTTTGCAGTTACTTTAAAGCATAAAAAATAACCTTATTTTCGTAATATTGGAATATTGGATTAGTTGGTATGCGAAAGTTGGTTTGGAAATCCACATTACGGAAGTTCACTTTACAAAAATAAAAATTAAAAAAATAATCAATTTAGAGTAGTATTATGTGTATTATTTTGCTGTTAAAAATGTAACACTTAAGGAATTGATAACTTTGGTCCATTTTCTAAAAACTTGTTAATTCCAACCCTTTTAATTCTTTAGCTATTTCAACACTTTTGGTCCCTACAGTGAAATTTTTTATATTTTTCATAAAAACACAAAAAATGGCCCGGAGCGAAGCCCGGGTTTTTTCCGCTAGTTAAAATAAATCATTTTGTTTCAAACAAATAAATTATATATTTTAAATATAAAAATAAATAAAAATTATTTTATATCCATCGAACATACTAAATAAAATATATAAACCAAGTTACATTATTTGTAACATGAAATATAAAATTGCGGATACAAAAATTACAAATTATATAGTTATTAGCACGTTACGAGCTTTTATTACGAAGTCTATATAGTTTTGAATAGTGTCAACATTCAAAAATGAAATTTGGATACATAAAATCCATGATAACATATACAAAAAATAGAATAAAAAGTTAAAATTAAATATAAAGTATGGCAATATTAAACTTGGTTTATAGAGAAGAAAAAAAAATTCAAATTTTAATATTTTTTATTTTTTCTAATTTAGGTAATATAGTATTGATATTATTATAAAGTTTATCTCGTAAATATATCATTCATCCATGAAGCAACATGTGATAGAAAGCAAATAAAAATCCCATCAGCTAGCTCGTCCATGTGGCTTGGGTCACCATAATTATTCAATTTTTTATTTTTTATTTTATTGTTTTCATTTAGTTGGTTTTATGGTGCTCAGATAGCAAAAAAAGCCCAATGGGATATGCAAATTTGATTTGAGAAATTAATTATTCTATTTTTATTTGTTCGCTATTTTTTTTATTTATTTGAAATGATGATAAGAATACTAAAATATTATTAATTAATTAGATATAATATATATACATGGGTAAAGTGAATATACCTAACAACCTTATATAAACTTAGGTACCTAACCACATCATACTACGTAATTTTGTATCATATTTGCATTGTAATCACCTAAAGTTCTTAAAATTCAACCTCATAACTTGATTGCTTCCAAAATCTTTGGACTTTCACCATTATCTTCCTTCAAATGACATCTTTCTATCGGAGACCCCTGGTAGGCTTCATATACTACCGTTACAAATCACATGGTGTGGGAAGGATATAATGGTGAATGTCTAAAAATCTTGGAAGTAAATCAAGTTAAAGGTTGAAGTTTAAGAACCTTAGACGATTGCAATGGAAATATAATGCAAAACAATGTAGTATAATGTGGTTAGGTACCTAAGCTTATATAAGGTTGTTAGGTATATTCACTTTACCCTATATATATATGTTTAGGTTATTATATTCAAAGTAATTATTGTGTTATTGTATACATAAATATGGGCCAATCATTTTACTTATTTTAAGAAAATGATTAATACATTTTATTGAATTAAATATAATTGAAAAATATCAAGTAATTTAACTAGAAGGGTATTTTAATCAATTAATATAGATTTAATAAATGAAATTTGCATATTTTAATGGATCATAGATTCTATTAATTTTAAAAATCTGATTTTACTAATTATAAGGTTTTTAATTCGGAGATTCTGACAGAATGTTTGAGTATCTTCAAAAAAAATATTCTAGAACCATAAAATAATAAAAATATACTTGAACATATTTCTTGATCATGATTTTAAAAATTTCTTGCAGAATAACAAATTCTCGAACCAGCAATTGAAGAATTAAAACAAAAATTACATTAATTCTTATAGAATATATGTAACAATTGCTAAGAATTACAATTATTATTATTAAAGAATAAAACTAAAAAAAATTTAAATCAAGAAAAAAGCATCAAAATCTAACAAATACAGTAATTCATTCCAAAAGAATAATGTTACTGAGAAACACTTTCAATTTTGTTGTCCGTTCTTCTAGCATCAACTTCTTCTAGCATCAACTTATGTGAAACAAATCCAATTGTAGTTTAGAATCCAATAACGCATTAGCAAATGATAAATAAAAAACTATATTCGTTTGGAATAATATGCAGACTTGTTAATTGCACCAAAACCAATAACAAAAATTGTAGAACATGTATAATCAATGAGAAAATATCCATATTCCATTCAAACAGAACTGGAATTCATGTTTCCAGTCCGATAGGATTTGAATTCGTGATTCCATTCCAATAGAATTGGAATTGTATAAAATACACAAACCACTAAGGGATAACTGGAAAGTAGTTTCATAAGTTAATGGACAAATATGTGAATCATACACAGAAAGATGGATAACGTAAATATTCTCCCGAAAATGGACAAATATATGAATCATACACAGAAAGATGGATCTCATCAGAAATGGACAAAAAATTTCTTTCAAACATTTCAGCGAACAGTTGGCGAGCAAGGATTGCTACATAAAGAATGAAAGAAAAAAAAACTATAAATACCAATAATCTTGCAAAATTGATAGGTTAGATGAAACTTACATGTAATCGATGTTAGGCGAGTGCTGCCTCGAAGTAAATCATTCTCGTTACAACAAAGAAGCAAACGAGTATTGAGTTCTCCAAAATAAAAACATTTAAACACGATTTGCAAGAGGTCCATGGCATCCAAAAAGCTGCAAAATAATTATTAAATATAATTTTGTAAAAGTTACCAATTTCATAAAAGAGGTTAAAACATCAAACCTTTTAAATGTCCAGCAAATGTCCACTAAAGTCACAGACCACGTTTTTGTTTTTCCATTTTCTAAATACATGAAAGTCATGCTATCATAGAATAATTAGAAGAGAGGGACTTCAAATTATTCCAATGCCCATGTTAGTACGCAATGGCGGCCATAACTTAGAATGGTGGCTGGAGATCGGCGGCAACAACAAACAATGGTGGTGGCGGCTTGAGATCTTAGTCTATTCCAATTTTGTAGATCGGCCAACATTTGGTTTTTAGATAAAGAGGGGAACGACTCTACATATAAACCTGGAGAAATTAGGTTAAAAATCAATATCATGATTATAGGGATTATTTTTGGAAGTTACTAAACAAATTACTAAATTAGCCTTATTTATTTATTTAATTATTTAATTTCGATTGACTCACATTTATGCGTACAATAACACAATAATTACTTTAAATACCTGAACATAGCTCTCTCTCTCTCTCTCTCTCTCTCTCTATATATATATATATATATATATATATATATATATATATATATATATATATATATATATATTTAAGAACTTCGGATTTATAAGAAAATAAAAAAATAATGAATTATTAAAATTCATTTTTTTTTTATCTTTTAAGTTTAAATAAATAAATAAAATAAACTAATGAGCTTTAGTTTGATTATTTTGATAAAAGAAAGTATATCCATTAATGAAATTGATATTCATTTATTACTATATTTATTGTAATTATTACATTAAAATATTATATGAAATTTATTAAAATACAAGAACCTATAAAATAACATGTGTCTTTTAGTATGTGTCTTTTAGTAAAGTATAGAAAATATTTGCTGGAATAACTTAATTTCAAATTTAGTTAGGCGAGTATCAATTGTGGTCCTCTCGGATACTTTGAAGTATTCGTCAGATGCATAAATGTTATACTGTATCTCAAATACCTAAGCGCAGCCGCACACTTTTGTATACTACTAAAACTCATTCTACCTCTAGCATCGGGTTTTTGTTTGAAAAAAAAATCATAACGGGCTTTTAAAACATTACTAATAGTTGAAAATATAGCGTTATTTAGATGGAAGCGACGTTCGAATACATCATCATTGTAAAAACAATTACCGGTGAAGTAACCACGTACCAATGATGATCGTCCTTGTACGAGCAACATTCGAACTTTCTTCATCATGAATGTGTTGCACAACAATGAAGAATGTCGATACGAATTCTCATCATCCGAGTAAAAAAATTTAACAATTTCAAATCCTCCATATGTTTTTTTGTTACAGAATGAGAGTAAAATGTGAGGGTTTTATTAGATTTATATAGGTATTGAGTTTTTGAAAAAAAAAAATAAAACTTAAAAAATGACCGTTGAACAGTCAGAAGAAGGAAAATGTTTTGATTCGCCGTTTGAGTTCGTCGTCTTGAACACGGAAGATCACGACCACGATCGACCATGACCGTGGTCGTGGTCCAACTCAATCGCAAAGGTGATCGTGCTATCCATACCGGATGGTCTAAGTAATAACATACAAGTTACAACAACTAAAGCATCTTTAGTATACTAAAGGTGCATTTATAGTTATGCGATGATAAAATGTGCTAATATTGACAGATTTATTTTGTTATATATATATGACAAAATTGCAAATTTGGTCCTTGTGGTATGTCAAAACTAGCATGTTTGGTCCAAAATGGGTTTGACTTGCAAGGATGGTCCAATAGTTTCTATTTGTTGCGAGTTTAGTCCAATGGCTTAACAGCCGTTACCAAGCTCCCGTTAATTTACCCATGCCCCTCTCACTTAAGGGTATTTTAGTCCATTCATCCCTGTAACCATTCCCGCTAAAGCTCAATAAAAGCAGTTTGTCTCCTCAATAAAGTAGATCGTCGTTGTTTAACCAAGCTCAATAAAAGCCCTAGACACAAAATCAGTTCTGTTAGTTAAGCTACGATTTGTAGAGATTATCGGTGGATGAACATACCAATGTGGCGCGTAAGATTGTTAAACACACCCTTCAACCCCAAGGTTGTTTATGGTACGTAATTTGCCCTTTTTCATCTTTTGATTTCTTGATTTTTTTTATTGAAGTAAGTCCACCTGAGGTGTGTTTTTTCTTGTTTTGAAGATGGACACCCAACATTGTTTACCATTAAGTTGTACCATGGAGGTGAGTTCACCAAGTACCCTGATGTCTGTTACATTGATGGAACTATAAACTATGTTGACATGGTAGATATAGATGAGTTTTCAGTTCATGAGCTCGATGCAATCATGAAGGGTTTTAGAAATGGGGTTCCTCCTATTATATACTACTATTTCTTGTGCCTGGTGGAGACTTCCACTTTGGTCTTCGCCCTTTAGGAAATGATCAAGATGTTGCAAACTTTTCTCAATATGTCAGTGAGCACAAAGTGATGAAGGTATACACAGAACATGGTGAAACAAGACTACTCACCTATTTCTTGAATTCTAAGCCTGTTACCAAGGTTACCCTTGTACAGTTATATGAACCACATGAGGATGTGAAACACATTGATGAAGCTCCTGATGACCAATCAAAGGAAACACCTGTGATGACTACACCTATTGATAATTTAGTTGATGTGGTGCCCACTCAAGCAAACCAACCTGAAATCCAAGTCAATGATATAGTTCAAGTCAATGAAATAGTTGATGTGGTGCCTACTCAAGCAAACCAACCTGAAATCCAAGTCAATGAAATAGTTCAAGTCGTATCCTTGTCACCTGGATATAATAGGAGAAGGGTTATGAGAAAGGATGGATTGATGGCATCTTGCAGTAAGAAAATATACTTTGATGATATTGGTGAGACTGAGCAGATAGCCAAAGACTTTGTTGAGGCAGCTACTGATTTTGATATTAGACTCTACCAACAAATACTACAAAGCAATGTTGATGGAGTTATTGGCACTGACATGCATGATGTCAATGAACCTCAGATGGATGAAGAAAACCAAGCTCAGATGGATGATGAAAACCAAGCTAAGATTGATGAAGTAAATCAATCTCAGATGAATGACTTTTGAGATTTTGACTATCAAACTGATGCTTTTGTCCAAGATGGAAGTGAAAACCAACCTCAGTCTAACATGGATAGTAGTGGAAAAGAAAATGTAAGTGAGGTTGAAAGTAAAGAAAGAAGTGAAACAGAGTAGGAAGCTGATAGTGATGATAGTGATTATTGGGTGGATGAAGATAATGTAATTAAAGATCTTGAAGTTGATATGAGGGATTTTAACATGAGCATTGATACAGAAGTAGAGGTCTTGGATAAAAGGGCTAGGAATCCTAGACAACATGAGAGTGATGAAGAAGCAGATGAGTTAGATGTCATTGACAATGATGCTTTTGATTCCATGGATGAGGATTCTGATCAAGACAGGAAGAGAAGACCAGTTTTGAAACAACTAAGTAAGGAAAAAAGTTGTTCTTTAGGTGAGGTTCATAAGTGTCATTTTAAAATAGGACAAAAGTATAACAGTAAGCAGGAGTTGGAAGAGAAAATCAAAATGCATGCATTGGAAACAAAAAAGAATATTGCATTTAAAAAAAATGACAAATCCAGATTGAGGGCCATATGTAATGGAGTTGTGGCATTTAATAATGATGTGGTTGGTGGACCTACCCAAACTGAAAAAAGTAAAGGGAAAAGTAAAGAAAAGGACAAACAAGGTGGGACAAGTCAGGAAAAAGCAGATTCTTCTTGTCCTTGGATGTTACATGCCTCGAGGTCTACAGATGCAAGTAGTTGGTACATTAAAACATATGAAGACAAACACACTTGTATGAATACAAGGAAGGTGAGAGCTGCAATAGCAAAGTTTATGTCCAAATAAATCATGGATTAGGTAGAATCCAACCCTACTATCCCAGTTAAAGCTCTCCAAGAACAATTACAGAAGAAGTATGGAGTGGGTTTCTGAATTCATAAAGTTTTTAGAGCTAAAGCAGATGCAAAAAATATTGTAATGGGTGATTACAAAAAACAGTATGAAGTTCTGAGAGACTATATCCTTGAGTTGCAGTCAACCAATCCTGATACCACAATCAAATTAGAACTTGGAGATGTTTCAGAATCTAATTTGGTAAATTGCACTTCAAGATGTTTCAAAAGAATCTATGTTTGTCTAGGGGGATGAAGAAGGGATTCAAAGCTTGTTTAAGAGATTTCTTGGGGCTAGATGGGGCTCATATGAAAGGTCCTTATCCAGGCCAGATCTTAACTACAGTTGGATTAGATTCCAACAATGGCATATACCCACTTGCATATTCCATTGTAGAGATTGAAAACTGTGAATCTTGGAAGTGGTTCCTTAAATGTCTTGATGATGACTTGGATCTACATGCTATGTCTAATTTCACTTTTGTTAGTGACGTACAAAAGGTAATGGTTGTTTATTTATTATTTTTAATGTTTATTTGTTAATCATGTGTAATTTGCTGCCAGGGTTTGCTACAAGCAGTTAGCCAACTGTTCCCATGTGCTGAGCATAGGTTCTGTCTCAGACATATACATGAGAACATGAAGAAACAATGAAGAACTAAGGAATATAAAGATCACCTTTGGGATTGTGCCACAGCTACAACAGTGCCAGAGTTTAACCATTACATGCACCAATTCAGTCTATATGACAAATTAGCATATGAATGGTTGAAGTCAATACCACCACAACATTGGGCAAAAAGCGATTTCACAGGTAAGCTATTATGACCCTTTTACCCTTTTACCATTTTACCCTTTACACAACATTATGACACTTTTACCCTTTTACCATTATACACTTTGACCATTTTACCCTTTACACAACATTATGACACTTTTACCCTTTTACCATTATACCCTTTGACTATTTTACCCTTTACACAACATTATGACACTTTTACCCTTTTATATACAGGGAGAGCAACCACAGACATGTTGTTAAACAACCTTTGTTAGGTGTTTAATGACACGCTGGTTGATGGGAGAGACAAACCAATTATTAGTTGCTTGGAGTTTATTAGGGAATATATGATGAAGAGGATATGCAATGTCCTCAAGGTGAAACAAAAATGTGTAGGCCCACTCACCCCACCAGCAACAAAGATCATGGAGATGAATGAAGTAGCTGCTACTTAGTACATTGCAGAATGGTGTGGTGATGAAAAATACCAAGTCAAAGGCCCATGGAATGATCAACATGTTGTTGATATGCATGAAAGGGTATGTAGCTGCAGGAAATGGGAATTAACAGATATCCCTTCCAGACATGTGATTTATGTGTTGTATAACAAAGTAGATCATGGTGAGCGTGTACACGAGCTCCATACTTATGTCCACAAGGTGCACTGGCTACAAACTTGGAAAACTGCATATGGGTACAAGGTGGAACCAATTAAAGGTCGGGCACTGTGGCCTAGAAGTGAGTGTCCAATGCAGATTACACCTCCCCCACACCGTAATCAACCTGGGAGACCCAAGAGGAAGAGAAGGCAATCCATGGAGGAGAAAAGTCAAAGTCAGAGTCAAAGGTCAGATGTTGGTCCCAGTGAGATTCATGGTCATGGTCCACATGGTAGTGGGAAACTAACAAGAAAGTTTGTTAGTATGACTTGTAGTAAGTGTGGAAACAAAGGGCACAACTCCAGGACATGCAAAGATCAGGGAGGGACTTGATGGTCTATGTTGGTTTTATCTTTTGGTTTGACTTTATGAACAAGTTTGGTTTGATTCCTGATGCAGGATGTCTTTTGTTGCAATAACTTTGTTTTCAATTAACTTATGACATGTATTTTGAAGATGGTAATAGGTATTATGTCTTCAATATGCTTTTGTGTTAACTACTTATGGATGCATTATATGTTATCTTTAGAAGGTTATGTATGAACAACAGAACAAATCCATAATTGGTCAATAGATACCAAATTTTCATTACCATTACTTTGCATTACAACAATGTTCCACATTAGCAAAAAAAACTACTTAAACCAGACACATATACCCCTATCCTATTACAAAAGATAACCATAATCAACCTGTGGACTTACAACAAGAACACCAACACAACAACAAAAAAAATCCAACTATAGACTAGGTAATATTTCAACATAGTTGCTTCTTCTTTGATCTTCTCCATTGCTTTTTCATGCTTGCTTGCTTGTTATTTTATATCATCCATTGCTTTTCGTATCTTATTGATTGTCCTATGCAGCCCTGGTATTATAACTTTGGAACGAGCACACATGGGTTCATCATACAACCCAATAAACACACATGATGAATTCTTGAAAAAAAAAGAAGAAAGAAACATTAGATCATCAGGGAGTAGTCGTCAAAATAAAGTGTAACATACTTACCGGGTTAGGACACCCCAAAATCGGCACCATGGGTTGTTATCTGTCCATGATGTCCGAACTATCGCCCACTTTCTGCAGAAGCACATCACCATTGTCGATGGAGAATATGAAATCACAGGGGGGTGATCGATGGAGAAGATGAAATCAGAGAGGGAGTGATAGTTAGGGCTTATTGCTGGAGACGAGAATAGAGACGTTGTAGTCTCTTTATGGACTAAATAATAATAAAATAATAAAGGGGCTAGATGAATGGACTAAAATACCCTTAAGTGAGAGGAGCATGGGTAATTTAACGGGAGCTTGGTAACAGCTGTTAAGCCATTGGACTAAACTCGCAACAAATAGAGACTATTGGACCATCCTTGCAAGTCAAACCCATTTTGGACCAAACATGCTAGTTTTGACATACCACAGGGACCAAATTTGCAATTTTGTCATATATATATATATATATATATAATATATATATATATATATATACATATAACAAAATAAATCAGTCAATATTAGCACATTTTATCATCGCATAACTATAAATGCACCTTTAGTATACTAAAGATGCTTTAGTTGTTGTAACTTGTATGTTATTACTTAGACCATCCGATATGGATAGCACGATCGCCTTTACGATTGAGTTGGACCGCGACCACGGTCATGGTCGATCGTGGTCGTGATCTTCCGTGTTCAAGACGACGAACTCAAACGGCGAATCAAAACATTTTCCTTCTTCTGACTGTTCAACGGTCATTTTTTAAGTTTTAATTTTTTTTTCAAAAACTCAATACCTATATAAATCTAATAAAACCCTCACATTTTACTCTCATTCTGTAAACAAAAAAACATATGGAGGATTTGAAATTGTTAAATTTTTTTACTCGGATGATGAGAATTCGTATCGACATTCTTCATTGTTGTGCAACACATTCATGATGAAGAAAGTTCGAATGTTGCTCGTACAAGGACGATCATCAATCATGATCACCAAGACGCATACGACTTATTGGTACGTGGTTACTTCACTGGTAATTGTCTTTACAATGATGATGTATTCGAACGTCGCTTCCATCTAAATAACGCTATATTTTTAACTATTAGTAATGTTTTAGAAGCCCGTTATGATTTTTTTTCAAACAAAAACCCGATGTTAGAGGAAGAATGAGTTTTAGTAGTATACAAAAGTGTGCTGCTGCGCTTAGGTATTTGAGATACGGTATAACATTTGATGCATCTGACGAATACTTCAAAGTATCCGAGAGGATCGCAGTTGATTGTGTAGATTGGCTTTGCGCATGTGTGTATAAGGTTTTTCATCAAGAATATATGTGTAAACCAACTCCACATGATATTGAAATATTATATTCGGCTCATGAAGAGAGGCACGGATTTTCGGGTATACTTGGCAGTCTACATTGTATACATGTGGCTTGGGAAAAATGTCCAAATGCATGGTGTGTCCAATTCACTCGAGGAGATATAGGTGAACCAGGTATAATCCTAAAAGCTGTCGCATCTCAAGATTTATGGATATGTCATTCTTTTTTAGAGTTGCGGGGTCTAACAACGACATTAACGTTCTTGACCAGTCTTGTAATGCCCGTGTTTCTAGGCTAGGATTTAATATTGACATAATGGTCTAGGTTAACCTTTGTAACTCATTTAGAAGAAATGAAAAGAAATTATGTGAATTTTATGTGAATTATGTGTTTTATGCTTAATTATTAGGATTTAATTAATTAAGAATAACTATAAATATTAGATAAAGCCTATATCTTTACATAAAGTTGTAGTGGTCGAAACAAGGATTACAGGGATATAAAGAATACCAAAATCCGAGTTATAACGAAGAAGTTATGATATGTCGAAGTTTCGCGACAAAACTAGTGTCACACCCCAAAACCGAGAACGGCGGAAACGTTCTGGGGCGGAGGATGTCATGTAATGTATCACAACAATGAAAAGTAGTAAACAAGCAACAACATCATCCATTGCTTTAATAGTATAATTTTAATTACATGTGAGTTCTTTCATAGTATAATTCTACAAAATGAATATTCAAAAATAAAAAAAACGAGTCTTGATTGCTCCGTCTTCACAGAACCTGGTAGTCGTACCTGACTATCCGTATCCTGGGAATACAAGTTATTTTAAAAGCGAGTATCAGCAATAATGCTGGTGAATTCATAAGTATTTATGTGACTTTGATTTGTAAAGCTGTAATTGAAAGACCTGTAAATGTTATCGAAGGAAAGTTTGTACCAATGAACATGTTTGTAAATATCTGTAAACGTTTGAAAAACTCTAGAAAATCTCATATTTTCTACTAGTGTAAAATGTAGCCTTCTACCAAAACCCGACTGTTTTGAATGTTTGCTTCAGAAATCCAATATTTGTTTGTAAGTGAGTGGTAGTTTAAAAGTCCAAAATGAACTACCATGATGTTTTTCATGTCATAAAATAGTAGATTTGTGTACAATTATAATCGCTAAGATATATGAAAACTCCGTAAATCAAAGTGTTTTTAATACTCCATGTGAGTTTTATAACCATACTATTGACACTGATGGCCTGTAACAACGTTCTTCAGGCGTTGGAATGTTATGACATTTGTCACCCCAGACCTGCCGGTCTAACTGTAGCTAACAGTTTAGGTGCGGGATTGTCAATCCCGTATAGATCTATACACAAGTATCACGCTCCCCCTCCAAGGGATTATGGTATATAATACAGGACTTAAAATGCATACATAAATGTACGTTGAAGTTTGAATATCTCACAACTAAGTATAAAACAGATTTACGTATGAAAATGTCCATTTGTTTTTATATGAAAATACCTTCTTGATATGGCACTTATAGTATATAAAATGTTACGAATATCTAGTATACTATCTCATGAAATTGTATTCCTTGAAATGGTATGTCTCGAAGTTGTATGCTTTTGTAATTGTATGTCTTTTAATTGTATATGATTGTATCTCTTTGCATAGTATGTAATGTATTTGTATAGACTCATGAATAGATTGAATCTTGTATGAATCCTGGTACTTGGAATGGTAAATAGTATATCTTAACTATACATATTATAGTTACTAATAGTGTGTGTGTATCATCGAAATATGCCTTTGTTACCCAAAGGTACTCAACCAACTGAATAGAAAAGTTTTATGTCTATATCTGTATACATGAGATATATATATATATATATATATATATATATACATATATATAACCATGCGTGTTTAGGTGTGCATTTGACAAATAAAATATAAAAGAAGTTTTGTATAACTTTTGAGAAGTTTAATAAATAATAAGAAGTGGTGACTTGATGTCAGTTTATAAAACGGTTTGAAAGTAGTGTTTGACAAGAATAATTTTAAGTATAAGAAGACCTTTTTTTGAAATACGATTCTAATGGTGTTTGAAAGGAAATAGAATGTATGTAAGATAGTTTGATAAAGAGTTTTTAACATGTAAAAATGTTTGTCGTAAACTATTATAGTTTTTCCAAAAGTTCGTTTCATTTGTATAGTAAACCTTAGTGTGGTGCTCACTTGTATTGTAATGTGTAACTTTTTGTGATGACATAAATGAACACATGTACTAAAGGTACAAATAAACCGTTTGATTCGTATACGTATAACCACCTATTTAATTTCAACGGATAATATGATATCGTGTTATGTTTTCCGTACGAAGGATTTCATACATATGTTTTACTTGATAAAAATGAGTATTTAGTGAATCTTTGAGTTACACACGATAATAATCGTGTGTTTACTTGTATTCCCCCCCTTAAAAGTGTATATTAAAACAATATTGATAACACATTTAAAAATGTAGATTATAGGGGTATGAACTCACCGAAGAAAGTGCGTGATTTGAAGAAAACGACATTTTCCCGGGCGGCACCTCGACCAGAGAGTGACGAGATTCTCGGGAATCTCGGGGATTCGAACTTTCTTCGGGGCTCGAGTGCGGAAATCGAGGTCTTCGGGATAGCTTCTAGTGCTTCGAAGTGTGTGAGAGTAATTGGAGATTTGAGAAAGTGTGTCTAAAATTCGAAGCTTATGCCATCTATTTATAGTGCTGGGGGCGTGAGTACGCGGGGCGTAATTTTGGAGTACGCGGGGCGTACTCACTTACGCAGCGCGTACCTCATTACGCTGGGCGTAAGAATGCATCATGGCTTACGACTCCTGGCTAGCTAAGCGTAGAGTGGGCGGGCCGATGGGACTCGACTCTGGGTCTAGTACGCGGGGCGTACTCCCAGAGAACGCGGGGCGTAATCCAGCCTGTCCTCTTCTAGGTTGTGCCGGGCTCT